AACCTTCCTTCCGAGGAGTGGCTGGTGGGTTTGAACCGCCAGCCTTCTGGTTAGCAGTCAAGTGCTTTAGCCACTATGCTACCAGAGATCCTAATGTAGACATAAAGACATAATATTCTAAGTATATAGTAAGTGCTGTTCACTAAGGAATGTCCTTAGTAAATGGTTTACTCTAAAACTCTAGTTCTTAAGCTAGATACACACCATAAAGGTCAAATTTAAAGATTGTGAGTGGTTGGATTTACTTTCATGTAAAATATTAAGCAAAAAGTGGCCATTTACTATATAGCTTAATCTTACAAATTCATTTAATACAATCATTGTAGTCCTCTGATATACAAGGGACAGGGGGCAAGCCAGATGACAAAAGCCGACTCATCAGTACGAGCTGGGACACATGAGTACACATGAGACAGGTGGGCACTCTCACCTCTCTGGCTGTGTGATTCCCCAGGACAGCAGCACCAAATTTGCCCTGTTTCACATATTGACCATTTATGCTGTAGGAGGAGGGAAGCAACAGGTGTTAATAATTGCTTAAAACAGCTATCTTTTCTGCCATCTAGCAGTGGGGAATCTAGTCATTCAGTCTTTACAAAGGGACAGAAGTGAGCAGTTTATCATTTAAAGCTCTTACACAATTTCTTAACTCTTTAAGTATCCACTATTCATGATATCTCAATGGAAAGACTGGGCACTTATAAGCACTTATACGGGCACTTACAAAGGCAGTTACTGAGAGTATAAGCACTTCCTAGAGGAGGTAGACAAGATAACAGCTCTTCAAGTTTTAAGGGCAGGAATCTCCAACTGAAATGTTAAAAAACATTAGGGATACTTTGTTTATGGAAGAGCTGACTAACCACTTTGTAATCAAAAGAGGCTTACTGAAGCAAGATACTAGCTCAAAACCCCACCTTCATCTCGGAAAACATTCCTGTCCATCTACTTACTATCTGTATGCATGGACTGCTGTTGCAATCAGTACTGCAGAAGTGCCTGCTGTAGTTCGTGCTGTTTTCTGTGTTGCTTTATTTCCTGAAGATGAAGAAAACAAAGTTGTCATTCATTTACTGCTTGAAACTGATTTTGTACTATTAAACCAGCTTCAAAGTTCCTTCTTCACACCTTAGAATTAATGTACCAAACTCATGACACTCATTTGATCCATAAAACAGTCCTATGACCTAGTCTGAGGATGAGAAAACTGAAGCTCTAAACATCCAAGTGCCTTACATAATGACAGTAGCAAGCTTAGCAGTAGAACCCATGACTCTACCTCCCAAACCACAAACTCCAGAGACAAGAATCTTGGGCCTAGGCATAATCATTGGAAAGTAAGGTCACATTCCATCTACTTTCTTTTCTCCTTCCAATATTTTCACATCTATAATATAAGAAAATAAAGTTATTTCCACTTTTCTTACTTTTGGGATAGGAAATTTATGATTTGATATTCAAATCACATTTGTTGTTCAACTTCACCAAGTGCTGAAAGTAACACTGCTATTTTAAAACAATACATATAGAGTAAATCACATTATTTATATTCACTATGACAATGTATTGATAGAAAAGTAGTGAGACAACCTTGGCATGGATATAGCAACTAAGAGCTTATTTTCAAATGCATTCTTGATTTTATTTCTGGCACTGACAGCATTTTTTTTTCCTGATTGTAGAAAAGTTAGAAAATATAGAAAACAATAAAGAAGGAAATAAAAATGACCTATAACCCCACAATCCAAAAATAAACAATGTTGATAATTTTATGTTATTTATTCCCAGTCTTTTTTCTATATAGATGAACTTGGCAATTTCTCTTATCTTTTTAAAAACAAAATTAAAATGGTATGATTTCATACCTCCTTTTCTCACTTGATGTATTATAAACTTCAGAACAGTCTCTAAAACAAAGACAAAATTATCTTTAAAATGCTTCTGAAGGAAGCTACGTAGGAAATTATCTCATGCCTGTACTAGAATTGATCCATTTCCTACTGTTGGACATTTATTTGGGCTGCCTCCAATTTTTCTCTGATAGGAAAAAAAAAAAAAAATTAAGGTTACTGCCCAAATGTCATTCAGAAATGCCACAGCAGTTTACACTCATACCCACCAGCAGAGTATCAGTTTTGTATCCTTGCAAACGGTAGGAATTACCTTTTTAAATTTTACCAACTCTATGGGGCAATAAAGAGAGAGGAGCTCTGGTAGCATAGTGCCTAAGGCACTTGACTGCTAACCAGAAGGCTGGAGGTTCAAATCCACCAGCCATTCCTTGGAAGGAAGATGGGGCAATCTACTTCCGTAGTGATACTGCCTTGGAAACCCAAGGAGGGGTCGCTATGAGTTGGGTCCGACTCAATGGCACATAACAACAACAACAACAAAGAGAGAGGAATACCATCTCACTATTTTTTTCATTTGATTATGTGGTGCTAGGTGCCATCGAGTTGTCTCCAACCCATAGCAACCCCATGTACGATAGAACAAAACACTGTCCGGTTCTGTGCCAGCCTCACAATCCTTGATATATCTGAGCTCATCACTGTAGCCACTATGTCAATCCATGTCATTGAGGGCCTTCCCCTCTTTCATTGTCCCTCCACTTTACCAAGCATGATATCCTTCTCCAGGGAATGACCCCTTCTGACAACACGACCAAAGAAGGTCAGACGATGTCTGGCCATTCTCACTTCCAAAGAGCATTCCGGATGCACTTCTTCCAGGACAGATTTGTTAGTTCTTCTGGAAGTCCATGGTGCCTTCAATATTCTTCGCCAACACCACAACTCAAAAGCATCAACTCTACTTTGGTCTTTCTTATTTACTGTCCAGCTTTTATATGCATATGTTGTTGTTGTTGTTGTGTGCCGTCGAGTCGGCCCCAACTCATAGCGACCCCTCCTTGGGTTTCCGAGGCAGTATCACTACAGAAGTAGGATTGCCCAACCTTCCTTCTGAGGAGTGGCTGGTGGGTTTGAACCGCCAGCCTTCTGGTTAGCAGTCAAGTGCTTTTAGCCACTATGCATGAGGCAACTGAAAATTCAATGGCTTGGGTTAGGTGTACGTTAGTCCTCAAAGAGACATTTTTGCTCTTCAGCACTTTGATTAGAGGGAGGTAGAGATATAACATTTTTAACAGATTTATAGTAACCATTTGTATTTTTTAATGACTTGCCTATTCATATCATTTGCTTTTTTTCCTAGTAAGTGTTCATGTTTTGTAAAAGCCTACAAGATAATTTTTACTAAGTACTTCTAGTTGTAATACTACTGTGTTAGAGTTTCAAGGAAGCACTTGGTTCATAAAAGGCTGTGGTCTACAGTGGGAGCTGTAATTCCCTTTTGAGTCTTGACGTAAGTTCAGTCACCATTTGTGTTCTTTCTGATTATTAAACTTGCAAGTGGTTGTGCAAAGACAAGTTCCAGGACAAACCCAGGGAGCGGCAGTTTGCCCTCAGGAAGACTGTAGATGAAAGCAGCCTAAGCTCACACAGAGAACCAGGGAACTTGCCTGAGTGTGTCCCATTCTATTTTAAGTTTGGGGTCCTGGTATTGTCGTGCAGCTACCTGGTGGCTATGACTCAGAGCCACATACTCATGTAGCCAAGTAGTCAAGCCCCAGAACCAATCCTGTACCCCTTTTCCAACTTCAAGTGTGTACCTATCCCAATCATGGTCCTTTCCCCAAGTGTGTAGTCCCACCAGCAACAGTAAGGGATTGATTTGCCACGAATCATTATCTTGTGATGATTTCCTTTGTACTCTGTCAAATATAATGAACGCCACGGCTGTGACTCAGTGGATGCCTCTCAGCTTTCTGCGCTATGTATTGCTGACGGTTTCCCTCATCCTGGATGACTGCCTTTGTTTTGTCTGTATTCTGTCTAAGGCTTAGTAAAAAAGTCTCTATTGAACCTGTTTGAATCTGGAGTCTCTTTCACCTAACATACCACAATAAATATTTTTCCTGGATAAGAAATCTATGATAGAAAAATAACTAACTAACTAAAGCCAGACTTATCAAGACAAGTCTGAAACACTGATGAAAATAACTGTCTCACCAAGGACAACCTAGGATCTTCCTGCAGCTTACTTCATCTTGCCCCAGTGCACGCATGGGAGGGGGCTCATAGATTGGCCAGATGCCCACAGTTATGTGAGCTTCTTCTCACTGAGTTGGCATTCCTTCCTCTCTAAAATCAGTACTATTCGTATTCCTGAATTTCCCTTTTTATTTTTTATTGTGACTAGGGTGAAGATTTACAAAGCAAATTCACTTTCCACACAGCAGTTCACATACACTTTGTCTCATGACATTGACTAAAATTTACCCCAATACAACAGCTCCACTCCCACTTCCACCTGATAGTTACCTCTTCCCTGTGTCCATCCCTCCATGCACTCCTGCCCCCTGAGCTGTCCCCTTGTGCATAAACAGCCCTTTTTTCTCCCATGATTATTCTCTCCAATGAGTGTATCTACCTCAGGTACATGTTCAACTCATATGCCTGTCTTTTGTTTGGATGGAAGCCACAGGTGTGGGTTCAATTCCAAACCTGAAGGGCAGCTAGGAGTCATAGTCTCAGTGGTTCCATCAGGCTCTATCACACCAACACCCGTCCCCCACTTTTATTCCCCCAAATGATTTTGAGTTTTGTTCCACATTGTTCTCCCTCTCCATCCAGGATCTCTTACATAGATGCCCCTCCAAGTGGTTGACAGTGGTAGCCGGGCACCATCTAGTTCTTCTGGTCTC